GCCCCCCAAGTCCGGCCCCGCCCCCGGCCGGGCCTCTAGGCGTGCGCGGCCCCGGGCCGGAGACGCAGCATACGCACCCCCAACCCCAGAGCTCCGCTGGGGGCTCCCGGTTCCGTACCCACCTCAGCCTCAGTCTCGTAGGGTGTGGCCACCTAAACTCTGTGAGTCAGGAACTGGGGACGAGCCAGTGATTTATTCCACAAATGTTCATTGAGTGTCTACTATATGCCTATGGTGATGAATTATTTGGGGCCCTTAACTTTCCTGTGTTCAAGGCTCCGTTATTCACCCCATTTTACAGATGAGGAACCTGAGGCACAGTTCGAAAGGCCACTCGGCTAGAGCCTCCTGGTGTTACAGAAATGGCATTCAGGCAAGGAGGTTGATCTGGGGAACGGAATAAAAATGTGAAAACCTGGGTGGTGCCAGAAGGTTCTCTGCAGGCTCTTATGTTGCTAAGGAGGCTGATGTGGCTCAGAGAACTTACCCTCCCCTTCCTCCACCTCCCCACACTCACCCCACTCAATCAGTGGTTCTCCAAGGGCCTAGTACGGTCCCACCCCAGAGCCTTTGCATTTTTGTTCCCTCTGCCTGGAGCATGCCCTGCAGGTACCACAAACCTAGCCGCTTCCTCTCCTCCAGGGTTCAGCTGGAAGGTCACCTCCTCCTAGGGGCCCTCCTTACTCTCCCTGGCTCAAATCATCACCACCACCAGCACCGCCCCCCCATCTCATTTCCTTATTTCATCCTCTTCATAGTAGCGATCACATTCAGAAATTATTCCTTTGTACGCACTGCTTTTTTCATTTATTTCCCATTTCCTCTGACATAGGGGTTAAGATTTCCATGCCAAAGGCATGTCTCCATTACAGCGGTGTCCCTGCACCCAGTATGAGCCTGACACACAGTCGGTCCCTCACCAACATTCATTAGAGGCCAGAATTGCTCCAAAAACAACCAGAAAAATTAAGCCGAGTTTCTGGCCACATCCTCTGAAACAGAGCTGGACATTGGATTGGGGTCACTGACATCTCATTCCAAGCAGCCTTGGGACCCGATTAGCCAGGGTGCTGATAAGGGACCATCTGCCTCTGGCCTGAGCCTTAGAATACCCAGGCAGAAGTCTCTGGACTGCCCTGTAGCTCTAAGCTCAGACTGTAGGTCACACACTCAGTGGCTATTTTGGTCTCTGGAAGCTTCAGGTAGAATTCAGACAATTCAGAGCTGGCCTGGTCTGGCTGTGGGAGTGAGACTCAAACCAAGTGGGAGAAGAGAACAGAATAAAAGCTCACCCAGAATCAGGTTTTATAGCTCGAATATGTAATAAGTGCCTGGGATGTGGAGAGAGGTTAAGTCAGTGTGTGTTTCATTTCCTTCAATTGCACCAGAAATAAAGGGAGGAAACTGATAATGCACAGAGTCAGCGCTGAGGAAGAGAAACTGAGTCCTATGCTGCTGCCAAGAGCGTTTGGGGGTAAAGGCTCATGTTCACTAGTACCCAAACCACCTACAGATCCTGTTCAAGTGTATTACTAGGGTTCTCGTTTTTAATCTCCCAAAATCCTTGGAGGGAGGGACTATTCTTATCCAATTTTGCAAGTGAGGAAACTGAGACCCAGAGCAGCTAAGGCACTTGTTCCAAGTCACATATGGGAGGGGTTAGGATTTGGAGCAAGAGCACATGGGTATGTCCTTAGGGGAGGACAAGCAAAGCCCAGTAAGTCCTGGCTGGAGCTGCCAAGATGTGTGCTCAAGGATCAGTTTTGCAACAGTGTAATGATTAATGCAGTACCCTTGGTAGGATAGATAAAAGGTCAAGAATGAAGATGGAGGACTGGGGGCGGGGGTGTAGTGGAAGCAAGATGGCTACATTGGAAACCCAAGTGCAATAAAATAGTGCAGGTGCAGTGGAAAAAAGTTTGGCAGTTACTTGAGAAGTTAAACATAATTACCACAGGCCCCAGTAATTCCATGCCTAGGTAAAAACTGAAAACAATTGAAAGTATTAAGTGTTCAAATATTTGTGCATGAATGTTCATGACACTTCACGATAGCCCAAACATGAAAATATGTCCATCAAGGGATGAATGGATAAACAAAATGTGGTCCATCCATATCATGGATAATTACTTAGCCATAAAAAAAGAACAAAGTTCTGATATATGCATATGAACCTTGAAAACACCACGCCAAGTGAAGGAAGCCAGTCACAAAAGGCCACATAGTGTATAATTTCATCCATATGAAATGTCCACAATAGCAAATCCATAGACAGAAAGATTAGTGGTTGCCAGGAGTGGGGGAGGGGGATGGAGAGTGACTGCTCATGGAGATGGGGTTTCCTTTTGGGGTGATGAAATAATCTGGAATTAGATAAGAGATGATGGTTATATAACATAGTGAATATATTTAATGCCACTGAACCGTACACTTTTAAATTGTTTAAGTGGTAAGTTTTATGTTATATATATTTTATCGCGTTTTTTAAAAAGCTGGTGTGGAAGCATTTATGGAATGGAAAACAAATCTTAAGAGAAAGACAGACACACACAAAGGTATTTGCAAAGGCAGCAAAAATCTCAGGAAGGAAGAGTAAGAAATTGATAACATGGGGCCTTTGAGGAGGGAACCAGATGTGGGAAGAGGGGTGAAAGTGGGGATGGAGAAGACATTTCTTGCACCATGTATATACATGGGCTACTCAGAAATAAATACAATACAGACACTTTCTTTTCGAAAAAACACGAGTTTTTTTAAATTGTGGTAAAATACACGTAACATAAAATTTACTATTTTAAGTGTACAATTCAGTGGTATTAAATTCATTCACATTGTTGTGTAACCAATATTCAGAACTCTTTTCATCTTGCAAAAGTGAAACTCTGTTTCCATTAAACACTAACTCCCCATCCCCTTCCCTCAGCCCCTGAAATCCACTCTTCTACTTTCTGTCTCTATGAATCTGACTATTGTAGGTGTCTCACATAAGTAGAATCATATAGTATTTGTCCTTTCATCATTGGCTTATTTCACATAGAATAATGACCTCAAGTTTCATCCAGGTTGTAGCAGGTGTCAGAATTTCCTTCCTTTTTAAGGCTGCATAATATTTCATCATATGGATGGACTACTTTTGCTTCTCCAACTATCCATCAATGGGGCACTTGGGCTGCTTCCATCTTTTGGCTACCATGAATAATGCTGCTCTGAACATGGGTGTGCAAATAACTCTTAGAGACCCTGCTTTCAATTCAATCATTTCCGCTACTCAAATTTTATAACTTCTTTTTTGGAAACAGTTTAAGACTGACACAAAGTTACAAAAAAGTAGTACAGTTTCCATGAACCTTTAATTCTGCTCTCTCCAGAAATGGTTTATCTTACTAAACTATTGTCAAAGCCAGAAAACTGGCATTGCTACAATGTGATAGACTCAGGTACCACAGCTTATTCCCCAGAGTTGTTTTTTAAAAAAATTAATTAGTAAAGAATTGTTCCTTTTAAAATCCGTATAAATATTCTTAGAGAGAGAATGGAGGGCAAAAGTATGACAGTTAAAGCCAGCTGGCCTGGGTTCAAATTCTGCCTAGGTCTTCATGTGGTGCATGCTCTCAGATGAGTTCTTTCCCCATTCCAAGCCTCAGTTTCCTTAACTGTGAAATAGGGATTAAAGAGTGCTGCAAGCTTTTTATACTGGAATAAATTATGATCTATAGAAAACTTGCAAAGCCAGCACACAGACTCCTCTACACCCCTTACGCAAGCTTCCCGGAATGTGAACATCTTGCATTGCCAGGTGCATTTGCACAACTAAGAAATAGACACTGGTACCTTGTTATTAACCAACCTCCTAATGTTATCTGGAAGTCACCAGTTCTTCCATTCATGTCCTCTCCCTGTTCTAGGACTCTGTAGAGGAAACCCCGTTGAATTTAGTCACATCTTCCTAGTCCCCTCTGGTCTGGGACAGCTCTTGGGTCTTTCTTTGTTGTTCGTGACCTTGGAAGTCTTGGGAAGAACTGGCTGGACATGCAGGATGCCCTCGAGCTTGGTCTGTCTGCTGTTTCTGTCATGATTAGAATGCGGTCATGGGTGTTTGAGAAAGACCACAGAGGTGAGATGCCCTTCTCATCTCATCATATCAAAGATTCCTTATAACCACATGACTTATCTCAGAGATGAAATCTGGATCACTTGTTTCAGGAGATGAGTATGGCCATAACAAATGACCACAAACTCTGTGGCTTGAAACTACACAAATTTATTCTCTCCAAGTTCAGGAGGCCAGAAGTCCAAAATCAAGTGTCAGCAGGGCCACATTGCCTCTCAAGGCACTAGCGGAGGATCTTTTGCTGTCTCTTCTAGCTTCTGGGGACTCCTAGCATTCCTCGGCTAGTGGCTAGATCACCCCAATCTCTTCCTCTGTCTTCTCTGTGTCTCAAATATCCTTCTGCCTTTCTCTTAGGAGTTGGGCTATGGCTTCATCCTAAATCTCAGACAATAACATCTCAAGATCCTTAAGTACATCTGAAAAGACCCTTTTTCCAAATAAGGTCACATTAACAGGTTCTGGGGGTTAGGACTTGGACATATCATTAGGGGGTCACCTTCAACTCAATACATGTGGTATCTGCCAGGTGTCTCTACTACTCAAGTCTCTATCACCTATCACCTTACAATTTTCCCATTTCTCTATTCTTTAGAAGGGAGTCACTAAGTCCAGCCCACCCTCAGGGTATGTGTGCGGGGAAGATTTACATATAATTTTTAATGAATGAAAAATATTCTGTCTAGTGGATGAATCCTAGCTTACTCAACCAGTCCACTGCTGTCAGACTTTTATGTTCTTTCTGCTATTTCAGAATTGGCAACATTATGCAAGGCCTTGGCACAGAGTGTTTCCCTTTATTTGCAAGACTACCTTAGAATAAATTTTCAGAAATGGATTTCTGAGTTGAAGGGCATGACACTTTTATGGATTTTGAGACACGATGCCATTTTTCCCCCACTTAAAGGGAAATATATGTCTACTGGTTTCATCACAACCTTGCCAGTATTGGGTTTTACGATGGTCCCTATTTTTTTTTTTTTAATGGGAGAGTAGGGTGTTTTTGTGAATTTGACAGATACATTGGTTTGCATTCTTTAAGTTTCTGCTGTCAGATATACAATTTAAACCGGAACAAAGAAAATAGAAGTTCACAGAGCAACCATGCATTAGTGCAGATTCCTACAATTGCCAAGGACAGAGTCCAAACTCCAAGTGGATTAAGCAATAAAGGATAACTTCTTGGGCTCCTTTAAGTGGAACATCAGACCTAATGGTCTCAGATGTAGCTGGATCCTGGGGCTCGAACCATGCCTCCCTGTCCACCGCACAGCTCTTATGTATGCTGGATTCTTGTGTATGTTGGGTCCTGATGCCACTGGGCTTTTACCATCGCACTTGTAAATCTCACTATCTCATTAAACAGGACTATCTCATTATTTCACTATCTCACTTTAAACAACCTCCTTTGGAAAGCGCTCTTCTCCCTCATAGCCCTCAGCATCCCTCTCAAGGGAGATTGGCCTTGGTTGGTCACGTGCTCCTCCTTTGACCAATTACTATGGCCAGGGAGATGGAGAACTCTGATTGGTCACCCCTATGTTGAAAGGGCTGACAAAAACCGCAGTGACTGGAGTCCACCACACGGGGTCACCCAAACAGTTTTCGAAGATAAATAGGAGTTTGCCAGTTGTGCAAAGGGAAAAAGCCTCTACGCATAGAGAAGTCTAGAAAAGTCAGAAAGGAGTGAACAAGCACAAGATTTTCTTCCTACTTCCACTACCATATTAATACTGAGACATTTCCTGTAGCTCAGTTTCCGTTGTTTACATCAAGTGCCCTTTACCCTTGACAAATAAGGCTTGGCTGGTCACCCTAATCCCTCTAACCCAGTTAGCACATCACTTTTGGCTGCTTACCAGCGTCCTGCGCACAGCCCAGATCTTGCCAGCTCTCCTGGGAGCAGCCCTGAGCTGATGATAGATGGGACTTGGAGAATAAATTTTCCAGCTGCCCTAACCCTGGATGGGACCCCAATGAGACATGAGCTCTTATGCTGTCTCCCTGAGGTCCCCAGCTGGACGCTCCCCCAGTTGCCTTCTGCATGACCTACTCATTGATGCCCCCTGCAGGGATCCTTCCCTCCCAGTGTCAGATCTCCAACCCCTTTTGGGGCTTTCTAGAGTCACCTCCTAAATACACTATGTGCCCTCGAGACCTCATCTCAAGATCTGGCTTCTGCAGGAGGGAAGGACCCCAAAATAAGACATGAAAGACAACTGTTGGTTCAGGAGTAACAGATGCCTGGCACTTTACATGGGTTCCACATTTGATCAATCCACACTGTAACCCTGATTAAAAAGATATGTTCTAACATAACATGGGTAAGTTCTAAACTCTGGTACCTGTGAATATGACCCTATCTAAAATAAGGTCTTTGCAGATGTAATTAAGGATCTTGAGATATCATTATCCTGTATTTAGCTTGGGTCTATTAAGAGAGTGTCCTTATAAGCGAAAGATTTAGAAAGACACATAGAAGAAAGCACTGTGAAGATAAAGAGATTGGAACGATGTGTCTACAAGCCAAGGAACTACAAGGATTGCCAGCAACCAGAAGACAGGAGAGAGGCATGGGATGGGATGAACTGTCTGTCCCTCAGAAACCAACACTGCTCGCACATTGATTTCAGATTTCTGAATCAAGTTCTATTGTTTTGAGCCACCCAGTTTGTGGCAATTGGTTACAGCAACCCAAGAAAACGAATATATTTGCATATTTATTCTGTTAACTGTCTCCCTCATGGGCTCCTAAGCCCGAGGACGTTTTGTCAGGTTTGTTTTTCCAAGAGCAGACACACAGTACGTGCCCAATATATATTTATTGCATATCCATAGATTAAGTGCTTAGTATATGCCCGATTCTGTCCAATGTGCTTTCACATGGCTTAACTCGTCTCATCCTCACTGCAATCTTGTAGCTGACACTTATCATTACACCTATTTTACAGGACGGCAAACTAAGGCTCAGAGGAGCACGGTCAGGATTCCAACTTACCAAAAGACGTGCCTTGGATAAGGATAAACTACAATAATGAGGATTAGAATAGTAGGGGCCGGGAAGCACTTCCTGACAACCCACGTAGCCTCGGTTTCTCCACTTGCAAACTGCAAATAACCTACCCCACCCAAAGCGTGGAGCCCACAACAGCAAAGATTTCATCTACGCATGCGCCCTTACCCACAAAGCTTCACGCTCCGGCTCACGTTGCTCCGCCCCCTTTCGCAGCATTCACCGCGGCTCTTTACGGCACTTCCCCTCACAATTCTAACGGTGCACGGCCCGCCCTTCCCCTTGTGCCTTTGAGGCCCCGCCCTACTCAGCGTGGATTGGTTGCCCGTCCCTGTAGCCCCGTGCTAACTGGCTTGTGTTGCTGCCACTCTATTTTAGCTTAGTGGCGCGCGGTGGTTCGGCTACTGGCGGGCGCGTGAGCAGTGGCGGCGGCGGCGGTGGCGGAAGTAGCCGGCGGGCCCGTTGCCCGCCGACACCATGGTGAGGGCAGGATGAAGGCGAGATCTCGTTGGAAGGCGGGGAACGCGGCCGCCGAGGGTCCTCGGGGCGGGCGCTGGGGCGACGCGGAGCGAGCATGTAATCCGGTCCTCGAGTCCTGCCCCTCCGACCGAGGCAGGGAAACAGGCCTGAGAGGGCAGGAGATTCTTTCCAGCGCGTCAGTCTCGGGGAACTTAGAGTTGCAAGAACGTATAATCGTAGTATAGCGGTCTAGGCGCAGTTTTCCCATTTTGCAGATGGGGAAACTGAGGCTGGAGAGGGAGGGGACCCGCCAGAGGGTCCGGTGAATGCAGCAGAGTGAGTTTTTGGGCAGGAAAGTTCCCAACTGCATCCGATCCAGTCTAACTTCATATACTGGAAAGCTGGAGTGCCAGGAAGTAGAGGGCCCATCTGAGTTCTCAAATTAAGCCAATTTGTGGGATTTTAGGGCTTGCAAAGCCCTTAGAATGTTAACACAACCTCCTATGCCTCTCGTTTTCAGGCTTAAAAACAGACTCGGAGAGAGTTTTCTTCTCCCTGGATCACACTGTATGTCGTTCGTGCCAGGGGGAGAGGGAGCATTTTGAGCCGGGAGTGGACTAACTGCCCCCCTCCCAGTTAACAGAAGGAAAAATTGAGGCCTTGATAGGAAGCCTCTCCGGTCCATACTGCTCACACATTGTGTAAGTTCTGGATCTAGGCCAGAGAGTGGTGGTGACCGCTGGGTATAGACGGAGAAGTTGAGGTCCCTACAAAGAAATTCAGAATTGGGCCTTCTGGGAGAGTGCCTAGCCCATCAGCTTCTGAGTCACTGTGACAATTGTGGCACGTTTCTCAAAGCTGAGGGTTAGTGAAGTTTACTGCTAAATCCTGCTGGCTAGTGCAGGAATTGAGAGTAGGGACTGGGTCCATCTCTCCTGGAGGGCAAAGTTGGCCTGAGGGGATGACCAGAAGGATCCTTATTTGTTAAGCTTTATGGAGTCTAGGATCTTTGTGTTTATCCCCCATATATTCCCAGAGTATAGAACAGTGTTTGTGCAAAGTACAGACTCATTTCTTTAACCAGAAGAGTGTCTAGCAGTGAACAAGGCATGACACATTCTTTTTGGGGTCATGGTGGGGCCGGCTGCAGGGGTCTGGGTGTGTATGTGGAGGTGATCCATGACAGCTTCCTGAATTGGGAGCCTCAGGAAGCCATTGGTTCTAGTCTTGGGTTGGTCCAGACCTGAGAACCAGACCCCAGACTTTGTGAGAAAGCCCAGAGAAACAAACCTTTGCTCACACTTTTCTGACTTTTCCATTTCCAGGTCACCTTATCTCCCCCCGGAACTCGGTGTCTGGCCCTCTCCTGTCTCCCTTGACAGCTTCACACATCTTCACCACTGAGTTTTAACTTCTCAGAGTTCCTTTCTTTTCTCTCTTTATCTGTCTCTAGCACAGTTTAGGGATGAGGATATAGAAGATGGCAAGATGTGGCTACTGCTCCAGACTGTTGTAACTGTGGAGGGCTGTCTGGATGCCACCTCTCCCCATTTGAACCTCTCCCTTTCCTTATTTGTGGGGTGTGGTGAGCATCCCACCTGTCACACGTGCCTTCCTGGGCAATGTGTGCCTTTCCCTAATATATTTGTTTAGCAAATATATAGAGTCCCTCTCGTGTGCCTGGCCCCATGCTTGGCGCTGGACAAAGTCCACACCTGAGTTTTCCAGTCTAGCAGGAGGCGTGGTATTTAAAGTCTAGCTAGGGAGACAAGAAAACAAGATAATTAGAGACTGGCTATGTCCTAATGGAAACAGCAGTGAGTGGCCCAGGTAGAAACCTTGTTTCCTAGATGGGGTTATGAGGGCCTGGCTGAGGGATGTGATGTTTGAGCAGCAACCAGCCTGGGAAAGGGAACCCCAGGCAGAG